CCCGAAGAAAATATATATCTTTTGTCTTTACGTAATTCATGTTCCTCAAAAAATACAAAAAGAAAGGCTAACTCTGTAAATATCCCATTTTGTCTAAAATTTTTTTTGAAATTGAAAACAAACTTTAACCATAAATTGGCCCAATTGAAAAAAAAATATACTTTTTTTTAACTTAATTTTTGGTTTAATTTTACTTTTATCTAAAAAATTGTTTTAGTGAAATCTTGCGAAAATGATGTTGAGAGATTTTTAGGATTCAATTCTAGAATCAATTCACGTTAAAATTAAATCAAATAAAACTATAAATTTTAGGAGAATTGATTTAGCATGAATTTCTTTATAAATTTGGAGGCAAACTAGAGAAGAAGGGGGGCAAATCAACAAAATTAGAGAAGCAATCCATAGTAATTCAACGTAAGGAGATTTTTGGCATTCAAGCTTAATTCTTTAGAGTAGCAGCAATTCTACAGGCAGCAATTGATAGAGAGCCTGCAATCAAGCAATTAAAAAAAAAAGCAGCGAAACAATTGTGGAATCATTCGGCAGAACAGGGAATCATTCAGCAGCAGTAAAATTTTTTTGGGAAGTAAGCTTTCAAACAATTTGGCAACGCAATGATTCAACACCCATTCAGCTGTGCAAATTAAAGGGAGTATCAAGCAACCGCAACAAACCGAAATAGACAAATCCCATTCACCCCTAAGTTCATCAATCAAATTCAACAAGAAGAAAATCCAAAACCCAGCAATTCATCACCATCCCAGCCAACCTGCAAATAAAAGCAAGATCAGACAACCTCAAACAGAGGTAGAAAACGAAAGCAACAAGCAATCGGATAACCATACACAGAACATCAGCAATTACACAGGAAAAAAAAAGTTCCAAAAAGTTCTTGGCTGAGGTTTGAGACAAAAAAATAGGAATGGTGACAGAAAGTGGAGAATATGGTAAATGACGATGGCAATAAACAGGCTCGCGCTGGTTGTTGGGTTGTTCTACGGATGTTTTAGTTTTTAGGTTTCTTGAGAAAATTTAAAAGGGGATTGCAAAGAGTTTAAAAAATGATTCTGTTTTGGACTTTCGTCGCTATTAAGCAACGACAAACAATAGAAGAGGTGGCTATTTTCAATCCGGACTTGGGCTGGGTTAGTCCTCTAGTTGGTTGAGAAAGAAGAAAGAGAGCAAAAGCTTGATATCAGTTTTGGGTTTTGACCGAAGAAAATAGGTTGAATATTTGACTTTAATGATTTAAGTGCTGAAGAGGGTGAAGATAGTCAAAATGGTAACATTTTGAACTCCAGTCAAAATGGAGACATTTTCATTTTCATTTTTGCTTCTTGTTAGGGGTTGTTTTATAACAAGACAATATCTTCTTTTTTAAATATATATTTTGTATATTAAGAGTTCATGAAATGTTAGAATTGGTAATAACTAGATTTAGAAATTAGTAAAAACTTTATATGAAATATAAAAAAATAAGGGTATAATAATTATTTCAAGTTTTAAAAATTTTATTCTTTTCTTTTCTTTTCTTTTCTTTTTCCAATTTGAGGTAATTAAAAAAAAGAACAAATGTGAAGGAATGCAAATGGGCTAAGCACTCCTATCTTTCATTTATTTTAATTTATGTGAAATCTAAACAAAGAAAAGATTTTCTCATTTTCTTTCATTTCCTTTCCTTTCCTTTACCTTACCCCAAACCAAACATAAGCTTTGCTTGTTTTTCTTGGCTTTCTGCAAAGTAACTCTTGTATGGAAAGGTATTGCAATGTACAGACCTATGAACTCGACCACAGGATGTAAAATTTTGAAAAAAAAAAAAATTGTCATCAATCTTTTTTATTAATTGTGATTAACCACTTAAAATGTTTTTTTTCTAATAAAACCAAAATTGAATTTAAAGTTTATCAAAAAATATTTTAGTCTTTAAAAACAGAACTAGGTTCAGGAGTATGATTATGCATTGAGAAATATTAGCATCGCTATAGCATTCATTTAAAAGCAATACCAATTAAGCATGTGCATGTGTTATCTTTTGGTATTTGATGAAAATGGTTTCAACTTAATGTTTAATGATAATTCTTTTCACTTTTTGAAAAACAAATCAATTCTATTTAATAAAAAAATCTGATTTAGGAATATTGTGAAAATCTTTAGGTTAAATAATTATCTTAAAATTTTTCAACATCTAGACAGAATTTAAAGATAACTCATTCCACTTAAGATGTACCACAATGTTCCTTTAAAATGAAAATAATATTTTTTTTAGATGATAATTACAGGTGATTTTTTAACCTTCAAGCAGAGTACCAAAAATTATTTTCATCGAAATGTTATTTTAGTTTTATTTCAAAATCTATATTTTTTAATAACATTTTCCATGAAAAAATATTTTTATGCAAAAAATTTAATGATGCTCAATTAACAAATAAATAGTAATAATTAAAGGACATAAACATGTGAAATGAATACAAACAACAATCTAAAAATAAATATATGCAAATGGATATTATGTATAATGATGAGATCGGGTCTTTAAATATAAAAAGATCACATAGACTTCCCTACCTCTAAACAAAGTTTAGATGCGACTATTTATATTTAAGCTCTCATTTTATTTCTTGTTTTTTGTTTAATCTTATCATTATTTTTTGTTGATGAATCATATGAAAATCTTAATGAAATAAAATTTCTTAAATACCCTATCTTTTAAGTGGCATTCAATAACATATTATTTCATAGGAGACTTTCATACAAATATTTTGAACTTTAGGATGGCTTAGGGTGTTGACATAGGTTCAAGGTTTTTAAGATTTAACTTGTTTGAGGGTTTGGATAATTTAAGGTTTTGGGTCAGATTTATGGCTTCGATCACATTTAGGGTTTAGGGGCAAAGTTTAGAGTTTAGGGTTTGGTTTAGGACTTAAGGTAAGGTTTAGGGCTTGGTTTAAGTTAAGTTTGGGTTTAAGGTAAGTTTATGGTTTTGATTAGGGTTAAGAGGTTGACTTTAGGTTTTACGATTTGACTTTGGGGTTTTGGATTTGACTTTAAGGTTTAGGGTTTGAATTTGGGTTTATGGTTAGATTTTAGGGTTTGGAGTTTGAGTTTGGCGTTTAGGGGTTAACTTTGGATTTTAGTGTTTGACTTTAGGGTTTAGGGTTTGACTTGGGTTTAACGTTAAGTTTTGGGGTTTGGATTATGGTTAAATTTTAAGGTTTGTGTTTGGGTTAGGTTTGGCCAAGGTTTTAAGGTATAGGTTAGGGTTTGCTTTCAGGGTTTAATTTTGGAGTTTAAGGTTTACTATGATTTTTGTGAATCTTTTCAAAAATCTCCAACATCTAGGTGAATTTTCGAAGTAAATAAAAAAACCATGGTTTTGAATCTTATTTAGGGCTTGATGATTATATGATCAATACAATTTCACAAACACTTGGAAACTATGATAAAAGACCACATTTTTACTTCATCAAACACTTAGAAAGCATATTCAAAAAACCATTTTTATTATGAAGAACATTTATCAAACATATAGCAAACTATCAAAATAACTAGTCAAAGAAAACCATTTTTTAAAATCACAAAACATGTAGCAAACAAATCACGAGGTAAGGAAACACATAATCATAAGATTGCATCACAAAAAACAAATTAAAACACATAATGGCAACAATAAACCATCAAGGAATGAAGAGAACTACATGGATAAAGATGAAAAATGTAAGAAAAGTAAAAAAACTACCTAAGAAAGCTTTCTTCAATAAAATTTTTTTTTCAAGAATTTTTTTAATGGTGAATTTTTGGTTTGCTGGAAAAGAAACTCCCTACAGCCTTATATTTATTTATTTAAAAAGTCAAAACCTTTCTCACAACCATTGGATCAAAATGCATCCAAAGGTAATAATTTTTTCATCTTTTTCTTCAATCTTAGTGCCCAAGGCTTGCAATATAAGCCATAAGATTATTGTATATTTAAATCTAATGGCTCTAAAAAATTACAGCACACAACTTAATTGCTCATGTAGCTATCCAATGCAAAAAGATAATTTTACCTTTATTAGTATATTTCAACTTTTTCATAATTTTTTAAAAATCTTATGATTCAATATTTAGTTTCATGATTTTAATGCACCAAAATTCATAAAATAATATTTAATTATGATCTCAAACCTTCATGAAAAATCGACCCCAAAAAAGTTAAATTACAAAAATGCCCTTAAAAGGTATTTTTGTAATTTAACTCTTGAGATGCAATCAAGATTTTAATGTATCAAAACTCATTAAATATTTTTAAATATGACCTTGAGTTTTTAACAAAAAATCAAATTCAAAAAAGTTAAATTATGAAAATAACCTAAAAAGTGTCTTTTGTAATTTTACCTTTTAAAGTCTAACCTAATTTCTAAAAGTCTAAATCATAATATTATTAATCCTAAGCCTTAATAATACTAATCAATTCTGAATTTCAAAGGGTTGATCAAAGTTGGACTAAATTTGAGCATGAGATATTTAGATCACTTTAACTCAAAATTCAATTATTCCAAGGACTTCCTCTCTAAACATAAGGACCTTAAAAAATTTTATCAATTCCGAGTAATTTTGACCATTCTTAACCATCTGACTTGTGTCTTCATCAAGAGTATTTTGATCATTTTAATTTTTTTTACTCAAAACTTAAATTTTGTTTTAAAATCTTCAAGAACCCAATGTGTTGGTTCTATTTTTTCAAAATACCCCAAATTTTATCTTGTTTCGACCACATGTAAGTTTAACAATGTTGATTTTAAGTTGACTTCTGATTTTTTTCTTAACCTTTTTATTGTTTTCTTGCATCTCCTTAAAAATCAACTTATTCAAAAATACTAAGAAAATGTTGGACAACAACTTAATTTTAATTTTTAAAGTATTATGATTGACTAAAATATATCTAGACAAAATTAAGTGTCTACAAAATATAAAGAAAAAGAGGGATGGGCATCTTAGCTTCACATGCAATGGAACCATTCAATCAAGGAAAAACCAGATAATTCATAATTACGTGATCCCATTTCTTAAATGGGAGGTCATTAAAGTGCTAATACCTTCTATTTGCATACTGTACTCCGAAAACTTTACTTGTTTTAAACATCATCAGCTCACGCACATTTTGACACAATAATAATAGCAACACTTTAAAAGAAAATTCCTGAACTGAAATCAAGTAATAACAAATTTGAAACAGTGCAACATACTGCTTAAACAGAAAGTAAAGAACCTATCCTTGTTCAGAAACTATGAACAAAGTGATAGTAAATTTATGTGATCAATTCGGCCTACTTATCTGTACCTACTGCAAAACAAAGCAACTGCTATCACTTTGCTAGCATCATCGTTACAAACTCTTCATAGTTCACCTGTCCGTCACCATCTATATCTGCTTCTCGAATCATTTCATCCACTTCTTCATCTGTCAACTTTTCCCCAAGATTTGTCATCACATGCCGGAGCTTGATGGTGAAAAAGCACAAACCATTATCAGTAGCAAATGAATCTTGCAAGCAATTGACATTAAAAAGTAGAAAAGAAACTCAATCTATATAATTATAGAGAGATCTTATAATATATATGTCCAAATCTTTTAACAATGTTTTGAGAAGAGAAGAGATTTTGGAGCAAATAGGACTTGGGAAAGCACATAATCTATACCTCAGCAGCAGAAATAAAGCCATTCTGATCCTTATCAAAAACCTTAAAAGCTTCCTTAAGTTCCTCCTCTGAATCAGTATCCTTCACAATAAATTAAAAAAGAAACAAGTATATTAATACTTCAAATGGTATGATTACAATGTTATGATATTCAGCAGAACTTTTGCAATGGCCAACTTAATGTAAGTTCAAGTGCAGAGAATCTGGTGATGCCTCAATCATTGTAGAGGTATGCATCTTGTTGTGCAATTAACAATAAAACCCATGAAATAAACCCAATTCAAATGTTGAATTTCAAATGCAGAGAAGTCATGGTTATAGCAATATTCATCATATGAGCTACAGAGTCAAAAATAAGGAAGCAACGTACAAAATAGCACATCCAACTATATTAATTGCAATTATGACTACAGAAAAAAATGCTATAGAGCAAAACATGAATAGGTGGGCATATTTATTGTAATAATCACATTAGGCTTTTCAGATACAAATGTAAACCAAATGAGACTAGGTTTCCAGGAAATCAAACTCAAGAAAAGATGAAGCGTGAATACACAACTAAAAATGCAGAGGCTAATAGTTACCAAAAGCAGAGATGACCAAACAGAATGAACTAGTTGCTATAAAGTTCCAACAACACAAATATACAACTGCAAGACAACAGTTTTTAGTTTACAGGGTATAGGCCTCAGGAAGTGAGCACAAAAGGTTACCATATTTCAAAACTGTATTAGAAACAAGGAATGCCATTAAATAAAAATTGGCTCACCAACCTTCAAAACTAAAATAAATAAAACAACATAGACAATAGCAAATGCACAAAATCATAGTCTGAAATAGAACATTCCACAGTTGGAGAGCATGTTCCATGAAGTATGCACATCAAAATGCAATGTTTTAGTCACCTTCATTTTCCTTGCCATCAAATTCAAGAACTCAGGGAAGTCTATGGTGCCATTTTGATCAGCATCAACCTCATTGATCATATCCTGCAGTTCAGCTTCAGTTGGATTTTGTCCAAGAGATCTCATCACTGTTCCCAACTCTTTTGTAGTGATGCAGCCTATACATTCGAGGCACAATGCAAATAAAAGTTTAGTTGCTGAGCAAACTTTTAATTTTAAACATAGCCATCCTAATGTTGGGATTAGTGACTCAAATCTCATAACAAATTTGTTCGAAATTGGCTAGATATTACTTCATGGATAAGAAAACATGCAAAAAAAGGTATTCTAAGATGAAAAGGATTTTGATAGGCAAGTTTATACACTTATAAATAGGTGGAGTCTTTATAGATGTAGGTATGAGAAAAAAATATAAGAAAGTTGTAAAGTTTTATTGGGTAGACATCCCATAGAACTGCAGAAAATTGACGTCTTTATGGGTGTGTATGCGTGAGTGGATTAGAGGAGAATGAGATGATCCATATAGGTATGGGACATGGGTGCACATGGGTATATGTTTGTATGGGTTGAAAATATTTTATAGGACTAAAAGACAATCAGATGGTATATAAGTATTGATTTTGAAGGAGATTAATTTATTGATGTGTTTGTAATTCTCTAAAGCTAGTAGATTTTTTTCTCATTCATGAACATAAGTAGGTTGTGCTGAATCACGTTAAATTGCTATCTCTTGTGTGGTTGATTGATCATTTCATTATACTTTCACTAGTTTGAATGTTTAATTGATTGGGGATTTTTTGACCTTATACCTAAGCGAAAGATGCAGTTCAAAAACAAAGGTATGGTAACACAAAAAAATTCTTCTAATATTAAACTAAACCACATCCCACCACAAGAGGCTAAAATATCCCTTGAATGAGAAGAAAACTGGAGAAGTTTTTAAAAAGCATGTAACATTAGCTTTCAACACACGGCCGTCAAAAGCATCTCTAGTAACTTTTCATAAGTCAACAAAGCGTTAACCTTAAGCTGGTTTTATCTTGACCGCTGAAAAATAATAGTTTTATCTTGTTAAAAGGAATGCCAATAAGGTAGCTGATTGGGTATCTATCCAATCAAAACACGGGATATGCCAGTCACATTTATCAGACATCTACTTCCCCTTTGGTCATGACCTTGGATATGGATCACATACCTGCATCACAATGACTTGACGTTTTGAGAACCAGACTGGTGGTCTCTTTTGTACTCGGTCTGTTTTTCTTGCTTGGTCGTTTTGTTGAAATTTTGATTCATTGGTTTTATGAAATTCCTATTACTTGTGCATAAAACAAAGAAAGAAAAAAAAATACTTAAGCTAGTTGAGGCCAGCTACATCTACAAGAATCTTTTTCTTCTATTGCTCTGCAAAAGGAGGTCGGAAACTGAATCCATCTTAATCTTGGCAGCTGTTATAAATAATACAAGATCTAAACAACAAATAGGAATAAGAGATACAACATAAGGTTCCGTTCCAAACCCAAGAGTGTTAAAGTTTTCTATGTAAAGATCGGAAATAATATGTTTTCTTTTCTTGAGAAATTCCACGCAAACAAAAGACAAATGAAATTGAAGAAAGCAAAGATGAACGGATTGCACAAACAAGAAAACATAATTAAAAAAAAAAAAAGAAAACACAACAAGCATATAAAAAAAGTAGTCATTATCGGGCAGACATCAAAATCAAACTCTTCAAAGAACGAAAAGGAAAAGAAATAGAAATGGTGAAAGTAAGAAAAAATGAATGGAGCATACCATCACCATCCTTGTCGAAGAGGCTAAAAGCTTCCTTGAACTCAGCGATCTGCTCCTCAGTGAGTTGCTCCGCCATTTTTTCTCCTAAGACAAACGTTTTTTTTTTTTTTTTGCGATTGGTGCTCTGGCAATTCACTTAAACAAATACTAGACTAGATATAGTTGGTAGTAAGCAGCTATTACTGGCTTAAATTTTGGAGAATGGGACCCACAAACATAGGTTCCCCTTCCCCAATGTAAGAATAAGAATCAGGTTCTAGCTGTCAATGGACGGTGGATAGAACGCATTGACCAAACTATCCGCAGCCAGAGCGAATCTGCCTATAGTCTTCGGATTTATTACCAACCGACTTCATTTTCCTTTATTCCTACTGCTATGGCATATGGTTAACCAATCGTCGGTACAAAATGATGACACATAAGAATAATATGATTAAAAGTTCGGTTAATGGGTAAATTCATGTTGTTTTCTACTGCTATGGCATATGGTTAACCAATCGTCGGTACGAAATGATGACACATAAGAATAATATGATTAAAAGTTGGGTTAATGGGTAAATTCATGTTGTTTTCTATGATTTGATATTTGTAAAAAATTAAGATTTATACCTTAATTTTGTTTACTTACATCAAGCATTTTGTATTATTAACTAATTATATTAAGTAAAATAATAATGTGATAGATATTGACCAATAAAAATATATCATGTGTCATAATTTTATTTGTTAATCTCTTATCATGTCAATGTATTATTATAAGATTCGATGTTTAGGGCAAATGATATAATAAAACACTACAATAATAAAATCTTTTAGTGAGAGTTATTATTCTTACTAAAAGTTCATATAATTTTCACTTATTTTTTTAATGAAAGTTAATGTAACTCTCACAAGCTCTCCTTTATTAATTATATATGATAAAAAATAAATAAAACACTCACTATATCTATCATTTAGTAAGGGTTAAAAGATCTTCATTTAAATGTAAATAATTAATAAAAATTAATTTTAATTATCACTAAATGTAAAACATATAATGAAAGTTAATTTTGACTCTTATTATATCTTTTGCATTTAATGAAGGTTTTTATTAACCTTCAATTAAAAGTTTTTATTTTTAGTAAAAACTTGTATTGATTGTCATTTAAAATTACTTTTATTGAGAATTTGACCTTCACTACACCATTTTACATTATTTAATAAAAGATTTAAGACTCACGAAAATTACTTATATACATCTAATTTTATCCGGGTAATATTTGACTATTTATGAAATTCTTAAAATTCAACCCGATTCAAATCCAATATAACTTTAATTTTGACAAGTTCTTGAGAATAAAATTTGGTCCAATTTGATTTAAATGTCACAATGTCAAACTTGGTCAATCCGGTCAAATAAAGTCAAATTTGATAAAAAAAAATAGTCAAAATGGTTAAAATTCGGGTTAACCTTCACTATTCGCAAACAAGTTGGGATCAATGTAATTTTAAATTAGAATTTGTGATTTTTAAAATATTAAAAAGTTTGATTGCATTTCGAAAAGTATAAATTACTAAAACATCTTTAAGGGTATTTTTGTAATTTAATTCTTTTCAAGTTAAATTTTTGTAAAACCTTTCAAATCATAATTGAATTTTTTTAATAATTTTTGATACACTAAAATCCTAGGTCAAACCTTGCGAAGTGTGAAATTACAAAAATACCTTTAAAGGTTATTTGTAATTTGACCTTCCTAAGATTGAAATTTTACGAAAAACTTCAGATCATGATTTAATATTATTTGATAATTTTGAAAATATTAAAAATCTTGATTATACCTCGAAAAGTGTGAAATCACCAAAATACCTTTTAAAGGATTTTTGTAATTTAAACTTTCTCAAGTCGATTTTTCGTGAAACTTTTCAAATCATGTTTTTAAAATATTTGATGATTTTTTATGCATTCGAAATTATAGTAGTACCTTAAGAGATGTAAAATTATCAAAATACCACTTTAAGGTAATTTTGTAATTTAACTTCCCGAAGTCAGTTTTTCAAGAAAATTTTCAGATCTTAATTTCATATTATTTCATGATTTTTGGTGGTTTAAATCACAAAAATAAACAAGGAAGCATTGCTTTTTCCAAGAAAATTGCTTAGAAACCAAAAACTTTTTAATAAGGGGTAAAATAGTCTTTTTATTTAGTTCTATTAGCATTAAAAATCTAATATTTGGTAGGGAAGATTTTTAGCCAGAAGATTATCTTGAGGGGCTAGATCCAATGGTGAAAGGTGACTCCTTGCAAAGAAAACAAGGGAGAATTTTTAACCATTAAACGAGCTTTTAATATGAGGACATGCATGCATTAAAGGAAAGATATTTTCTTTTGATGAGGGTTGAGAATTCATGTTTTAAAAGGAGAAGAAAAAGGCTAGGTAGTATTGGAAAAGAGGGAAAAAAATAGAGAGAATTTTTAAAGGCTTGGAAAAGGTAAAATCCTTTCTTTGTTTTTAGCTTCAAATTTGATCTATAAACTCGATCAATTAGTTCATAACTTAATTTGGGATAAAAGATCAAAGAAATCAAAGAAATCAAAGAAACAATCCACCATTAACCATTTGAAGGTTTGGTCAAGCGTGAATCCTTCATGGCCGAACCTCATTTTGGGTCATTTTGATGATTTTTTTGCTTTCAAATATATTTATGATGTCTAAATGATTTGTTTGTTTGTAATTTGCATTAATTTTATTAGTTATTACTATATATTTGGTGTTTGGCTTGTGTTCCTATTTACATGGTTTCATTGCTATTTTAGTATACTATATGTTTGATAAAATTCTTCTTATGATCAAAATGTCTACACATGACAAATATCTTGATGTTTGATGTATGATTGAGCTAAGCAAGATGGAAATGTGCTTATGAAAGGCCATGGGAGCATTCAACCAAGCGTCCCAAGCCTCCCATGCTTGAGCTAAATCTCTTTTTTTATATTTTATGGTAACATGATGCTTGATTTTTATGTGTTTTCATGAGTTTTTGGTTTGTTTATCAAGTTTATAATATGTTTAATTTAATTTTCATAAATAAAATGTTTTGGTGGCTTGTTTTGGCTTTTTTTTTTTTTATTATGTTTGGTTTACACAAGTTTTCAAAAGTAAAAAAAAAAAAATACGGTGGAACATGTTTTAAAATCTAAAAATTTAGTATTTTGATCCATTTACATTATATATTCAAATGCACATTTGGTTTTTAATTTAATTTTTAAAGTACCTTGATTTGTAATTAGTTTGCACCTTAGTCATGCATTTATATTTACAATTTTACGAATGATATTCTTGTTATTTGCCACATCATCGATATTTATATTTTTATCAATGGGATTTTTTAAATATTACCTCTATCACTTGCATTTTCTATGAAATCCTAAATCTCAAACCCTAAATTTCAAACCTACACCCTAAACCACTTTCCAAACCTTAAACCTTATGAACTCTAAACGCTAAAACCTAAACATTAGACCATAATCCATAAACCATAAACCTTAAACCCTAAACCTTACAAACCCTAAACCTTCCAAGCTTTAAACTCTAAACTCTAAACCTACCTCAAACCCAAAAATCAACCTTTTAACCCCGTACATGCATTTCATTTTTATTTATTTATACATTTTGAATCATCATGCATTCATATCATGTCATTCATGTATTCATTCATTTTTATTATGTTCATGCATACAATGCATATGTTTTTCAAAGAAAAAATGTTTTCAAATAAAATAATATTTCAACTAAATATAATCATTAAGCTTTGACCTAACTATAAAAGACTCTCAATGGTTATTATTTATATAAGGTGTTACCTTAATTTTTGTAAGGCAATTTGAAAACTTTTAAATTAGAGATATTTTTGAAGTTTTACCTAAATATAAGACAGTGAAAAAAATGTCTTGATAATTAAAGTATTTTTACTTTGATCCAAAAATAAAATATTTTGTTTTCAAAATAAAAAAAAAATTCAAGTTTTGGAATGGAAAAAGAAATTAATTTCTAAACACTATAAGAAGACCTTGTTTACCAAAATTCAAAGATAGCATGTAGACAATTAGCACCGTCTGATGAACGCTATAGGAATGTTAATCTTTCTCCATTTATAACTAAATTTCAAACCCTAAATCTAATTTCACATATCACAAATTTGTTTTTTTATAAAACTTTTAAATCTTTTACATATTTTCTTTTACATATTTTATTTAAAAGATAATTTTTTAAATGATCAATCACATCCTAAAAAAAATTAATGATGACTCTTTATTTTGATTTTGATTGAAAGGATTTTTTTTAAGCTTATGTTTTTCTCATTCACATTCATTCAGCACTTGGGTTCCTCCCTGGTCTTGAAACATCGTGACAATACTTATTTATATATTTTTAGTTACTTTGTTAATAGACATATTTTTTATATTTGTAATTATTACTCCAAACAAAATATAAATAAATAATATGTCCAAAAAATTATTGCATAAAACCAAATAAGCATCCAAATATATAAATCCAAACAATGTACAAATATTTATAGATATATCAATTCTTTTTAAGTACTCTATAGTTTTTTATCTAAAAAACTTACACAGATTAGTAAGACAACCAAGCAATACATATTCAAAATCAACAGGAATCCCTTCCTCATGTCATTTCCCTCTATCAGCACTTCTCAACTCCTACTCAACTCATTTTAAGGTAAAGAATCTCTTCGTGGGTTGAAATTTTTAAGGCCAAAAAAGAAACTCCACATGATGAAGCCATTGTTAGGCATCAAGTAAAATTCCAGTAAGGTTCACTTGCCTGCAGTGCTTCTTTGTATAAAATCCTACATTTGCAAATAAATCAATCACAAAAGCCCAGGTAGTGAAAACCAAGCATCTTCAACAATACACTCTCAATAAAAAAAGCACCAGAAGACAGGTACAAAAAAGGACGTAAAACATTAAACATCTAGGATAGCCAAGCTTCAAAACTTTCAAAGAGCAACAATTGCTAAATTTAAAATATGCAGAAAACTTTAGAAGGTAACAAATAAAATAAAATAAAATAAACCATAACCATGAAAAGGAATGTATCCATACCTTAGACTAAGAAAGGACAAGTTGAAACAAGCAAGATCAACTTCATTTAAATTGGCTGACAACGAAAGATTTAGAGATGACCAATGGAAACATCGTGCTACCGGAGGGATAAGCACTTTCCTAATATTTGGACAACCTTCGCAGTTAAGGTTCTACAGTAAACGGTTTGCTTGCTCGACTGGCACATGGATGTTATCAAAACAAAACATGCTAGATTCATTATGCACATAAAGCAACTCAAATCGACCACCAGGTCATGCATATTTATACATCCATTCAAACTCAAATGGGTAAGATGTGTGCAAATGCAAGAAGCTCCTCTATGGCAGATTGGCACAGGTTACCATATAATAAGTCTAAATCCCAGAGTTCTCATAAAGCACCTTCCTCGTAAAGGGGCTCCAATGATGAGTCAGCCAAATATTTGCATGCTTATAATTTTAACACCTAAAAGAAGGAAAGGAAAAGTGAGCAAAAGAACATTACAGGAAATAATGAAACATGCAGTATTGGAAAAATTGAAAGCTTAAACCAGACAATTTACCATAATGTAAAATTTTCTTAAACTTGCTTTATGCATGTATTCACGACGAATACCATCAGCGTTAAGGATGACAATTTCAAGCTTGTCTCCCTGTTAAACATACATCACATGTAGAACCAGTCACATATGAACAGAATTTGTAAGAAGATGCAAATCTAGTGGAAGTTTTAACTACTTTATCTAAGGTAAATAATACACTTTTATGGTTTCACATAAATCAATGCTTGATATTTAATGATTTGAAATTAAATATGAAAATAAATAAAAATTAATTAAAATAGTAAAAATAGTTTAAACGAATATCAACCATAGAATTAGATGAAAGTACATTATTCATTCTTATATAAAGTAGTGGAAACTTACGTTATTTTTTTTTTTAAGCAATGGAGAGGATCCGATGAAACATAGTTCGAAGTAATACACATGATAGTATCTACATTAAAATGAAAAACTATAGGTAAGACTTGAACAAGCAACTGAGCTAAAGTGCTAGACAAAGGAACTTTGTAAATGGAGGCTACTTTTAAAGGTTCTAGATTCCTGGAATTCAGAAACTCATGGACAAGAGAGATGATGCAGTAACTTCATTAGAAATCAACTAAAAAAGTAGAATAAATTAAAAGCAACATTAAAAAACCAAGAGAGACTTCTATAATAGAGACACGAAATTCGTCAATACTTGGTTTCCAAAACATTGAAATAGTTTTTCTAAGTTCATCTAAATCTATGAGGGTGGTGGGCAAGAAAAAGAAACTTACAATGTATATATCCCTCTCAGTTGCTGATGCAAAAACAGTTTTGACTAAATCAACTGCTTCATATTTCACAAGTGGAGTTACAGCATCCTGGACAGGAAATGGGTTGCCAAACAGAAATATAAGAAGTAGAGTGCTCTGATGCATATATGTCACAGGATAATAAAATTTTAACAACACACCTGGGCAGGCAACAAAAGAGGGCTAGGAGACTTCAGTTGGCTATCCAGAAAAGGCATAATAAGTGTAGAACCGGTACGCTGGTTGCCATATCCAACCCTCTCATAGGAACCAACAGCATCATATGTGAACACGCAGCCCTTGCCTGAAGATTTAGATGTAGAATATTATATAATATATAACACAAAACCTCAAACCTCAAACTAGTAATGAAAGCTCAAAATAGAATACCTTCATTAGCAAGGCCCTAAAACATTAAACAAATAGTATGGAAAGAAACAACTATAGTCAAGGGTGTTGGAAAGCAATTAAACCATTGCAAGGTAGCTCATTTGCTTCTTGTGCTAGTGCTAATAAATCTGGTTTACAGAGCACTATAAGAAAGTAACATGATGCAGCCACAATAGATGTTTCTAAGATGGGAACCGAACAAAATAATGATCATTCAATGAAAACCAAGCTTGTGCTTTGATATACGGCTTAAACAGAACATCTTACATAACAATAAGTTTGATCATTTACCTGAAAAATGCAACACAAGTCATATATTTTCCTTTTGAAAGGAAGGGATTAGAGGCTTTACGTTTTAAGTGGCTCTTCAAAACAAAATTCAAGCACTCCTTACTTTTAACCATCATTTTATTTTTGTGGTGTTAAGCTACAATCAATTGTCTTTGGCTTGTGAAGTTTTTATATAGTTTTCCAAACCCGATAATTAAAATATAGCCCGTCAGCCACATTAGTTATGAGATTGATGCATGTATTCACGTGGTTTAAGCTTAAACTATGGGTGTTATGCGATGAATTTCTCCACGTAAGGGACTAAACTAGTATTAGCATTATATCAAAATACAGAATTATTAGGAGTAAAAATAAATGCAACATCATGCATTCATCAAGTACATGCAATAGAATCAACTGAACATGAAATAACACAAATATGCCACGTATGGCTAATCATGCTTATTTATCAAGGATTTCAAACTTACCTTCAGCTGCAAACAAGACACAAAAGCTAGCTGAAAATTCGTCAAAAAGGTATATGACAAATCAAGTGTTATTAAATTTGGAAGCTAGCGCAAAGAGTAAAGACCGTCAGAACCAACAGATGGGCATGACATCAATATTAATGACACGATCCGAGAGCAAGAAGCAGTGGTTGCAGATAAGCAATAATCCTTAAATTGGCTGTATGTAAAATTAAATAAAAACATCAGCCATAGACCAGAGGAAAGTATCATAAAAGAAAGGTGCAGAAATTGCACCAAACTTGCATAAGGAAGCATCCGGAGACGTCAATAGTGGACAATTTATGGATGCTTCAGATAAGACACCACATCATTTTAACTTAAGTGACACCATATATGAAGCAACAATTCTGAGTGTGTTCAATCTGGGGCAAATTCCAAGATTAAGTGATGCGTTCAGAAAAACTACTGGAACTCCCTCAAATTCATGTCCTTAGTTCTAGGCTTCTAACAGCGCAGACGGTGGACTCCACATTCCATCGGACCTTACATGAGTTTGTATATCTATCATGAAAGAGGTGGAAAAGAAGGTGGGGAGTCCAAATAGCAACGTCATTTAGGGAAAAAAAGTGATATCTTTTTCATAACTAAATGAAGTTAAATTATTGCATATGGTGAGTTGGATGAACTAAAATCCCATGAACCAAGTTTCTGAGTACTTATTATTAGGTAAATCATACATTTATGGCTATTAGCAATAATAACGTGTACTAACATCAAAACTATCAACATAAGAAGGAAATTTTAGCATCCCTAAGATTCCAAATAGAGATCCCTTTGGTTGTTACTCTACTACTTTGTTTATTTGCTCCTGCTTCCTAAGAAATTGAAAATAATCAAAAGCAAATGATAGAAACCAAAATTAATTGATTAAAAATGCACAAATAACTAAAACACAAAATGATTCTAACATAATTGTTCCATATAAAAGTAAAATCACTGCCTTGTATTCTTCAATTTGTTTCTTATATTGAAACCAGTAAAAGTAACAATCAAATTGTACCTAATCAATTTAAAATTGAATTCTTTGGTTTCTTTTTGCTATTAACAAAATGTATCTTTTTTCGTGAAAATTTTCAAAATTTAAGAATTTATTAAATCCTTACGAACAATTTCTAGAGCATAAAAAATATGAAGAGAGAAGTAAAAAAAAAAATGAACTTCGATGCTGAGAAAGAGGGCAGCGACTTAGAGAGCCAGTGCTGCGAGAATGAGAGGAAAAGAATAAGGATCTAAACCGAGAGCAAGAGTGAGAGCTAAACGGAGAAACAGATATGGACTGAGAGCCCAATGATCACTAGGCTTATTGAGAAGAGAAAGGGACGACGGTGATAGTGGCGACAGCATCGACGGTGATGACAAAGGCAGTGCCGGTGACAATGCTAAATTGGAGGCAAGGAAGAAACCCTAATTCTTGGTTCAGTGAAAGAATTTTTTTTCCTACAGAAAAAATTGTTATGGATGGCTGGCAATTTTGCAAACCTTAAAAACAAATGAAAGGGTCAACATCGAAAAGGTTCTTTTTTTAGCGTTCATGCCTAACCAGGAACCTGCCCCTCTTTAAATTGATAAAGATATTATGTCACAAAAAATGGATGCGAACTATCTTACAAGGTCAACAATCTCATGCTTTTCTTTAAATAAAATAAAATAAAAATTCAAGCTCTCCTTCATCAAAAGTCGTCCGCCTTAAGCAATATTTTTATGTTATATATTTCATCCATTTAGCTACATTAATATCCAAAAAAAAAGATACTATATGATTTAGAATGCGTTTGGTAGGTCGATTAGTATGGCTACCCTCATATTGATGCTAAGATTATTAGTTTTGTATTAGTACTAGTCATATCAACAATATGCATCAATTTTTTTTTGTCATTCGAGGGAGACAGAATCTTACATTACAGGAAAAAAGATTTTTTTTAAGATTATATTGACCACTAAATCAAGTGGCTGAAGATGCAATATGTATCAATTTTGCACTAATTAGGTATGCTTTCAATTGTTTTGGATTGTTTGGACCAAAAATGATGTTTTAGGCTTTTTTTCAAATAAAAATCTTTGTTATGTTCAATTTTTTATATTCACAGTAAAAAAGATGTGACAAGGGTCAACTTTGAATATTCACTTTCACTAAAATTATGAATAATGATTATATATATATATATATATTACCTTTAAATATTAACTTTCAATAAAATTTTTTATTTACTAGTTTTTTAGAATTTTTTGTACTAAATACTTTTTAAAATTTTTTTTTCGATTATTATTGAAAATATATATTTTTATGAAATTACAATGACTTTCACAAAATTTACAAAAATTCTTATTTAAATTATTTAATTTTTTAAATATATATAAATTAATAAATTTTATTTAGTGAGATTTGAAGTGACCTTCACTAAATCTATTTATATTAATTTTCAACTCTCATCTCAACTACATGTATAAAATTTTGCACTTGTGAAACAAATTTGTACGGGTCAATTTTAGATCTTCACAAAAGATATTAAATTAGTGAAAATTATTTATGATTCTCATAACAAAATGACTTTTAGTGAGGGTAAAAATACATTATTCGCTAAAATTATTCACAATGAAAGTTATGGATGGCCCTCATTGCAAAAAGAGTTATTAATAAGAGTCAACATTTGACCCACATTACTATTCTCACTAAAACACACTTTTTCTTATAGTGAAATAAAAGTTAAGGTAATAATTTTTTTTATAAATATCAAATTGTAAAAAGTAATATAGTTTAAGGGCCAAATTACATACTAGCTCTTAAATGCTATTATCTTTTTACATAATTACAATTGTGAGTAGCTATACAATGTTCATTATGTCATATTAATATCTCTTGCTTCCTATATATGTATTTAGTTTTTTTTTTTATTTGTATTTATGGACGTTAGAGGTATTTCTCAATAGCTTGTCTTTGAGGTCCTTTGAATTCTGTTGAACAAGGTGAGTGAGTGCTAAAGGGGCTTCAGCATTTACACTCATAGACCTAGGTTATAAAAGGTCTTTTAAGAAGATGAAGAATTTAAAGGAAAAGAATCAAAATAGTTAACTTGCGTTTCCAATTTGTTTAATAGTATTTATAGGATTATGATGGGATCATAATAGAGGTACTATCGATGTTAGCACAAAATAGTGGGATGATAGACTATAGGTTAGCAAACAATTTAATAAATACACATTAAAGTCTTTATATTTATTGTTTTTAACTAAATGGTGGAAAAAATATAGGTTTGTCTTGAAGCTATGAAGTTTCATAAAAGTGGATTAGAGCATATTGGACTAATGGAAACTATGTTCTCTACGACCATGGCTAAGGGTTAAACAGCATCGAATTTAGATCTTGACAATGATTCAAAAGAAAACATTGAAATTAACTTTAATACTACAAATTTGATAATGAAACTCCCCTAACAAGTACTCAAGAAAGAAAGAAAAAAATAAAATAATGTCTAGATGATCAAGTAATGGAACAACTGAAAAAAATAAAAAAATAAAAAGAACTGGAAATAAGATAGTGAAATAATAAGATGTGAAGCAATTGAGAGTTTTAATTCAACAACTACAATGGCACTTAAAAAGAGTGTTTCAATGGAAGTAGCAATTTTGATTGTTTAGATGTATTGGAAACGAGCCTTAAGATTGAGCTTGATACTGAATTATACATGTCATTCACTTATTTGTTTATTGATTTATTTGTTAAAAGAATAAGGGTACTTCACATCATTAAGATCTATTTTTTTCATCGTTGTTAGTTTATTGACTTATTTGTTAAAAGAATTAGTTTGGATTATATGCTGACAATGGATAATTTTTATTGTTTTTCTATTTTACGTACATGTTATTGTTATTTGATTCAAGGATGCGTCAAGATATTTCAATTTTATGCAATTAATTGTTAAATAAGACTATATCATAATTATTTTTTTAATTTATTAGATGCGTTAAAGGTATCATGGATCAAGTGATATCAACTCAATTAAAAATATTTAAAAATTAAATATAATAATAATTTTAAATAATTAAATAAGGATATTCATATCTTTTAATTTTTTATATAATACATTTTTTTTAAATAGTTACTATTTTTTTCTTTAAAACCACCCACTTCTCTCTCAAAAAACTACCTATTTTCTTCTCTCCCCAAACATTTTATCTCTCATTATTTTCTTTTACCCACAAAATTGGTGTACATGTTTTTAATATTTTTACAATTTATCTTTTTTTGTTACCAATTCCTACCTATTTGCTTCTCTCCACTATAGGAGATAAGGCTTTTAGTGGCTTTTTTTTTCACATTTAGTGGCATTTATAATATGGCACTAAAGGATTAACAGCGTTTGCCAAAAACGTCGCTAAGAGTATTGCCTATACTTGTGTCGAAAAAATAGCAGCATTTTTAAAAAAAACATCGCTAACTTAACGACGTTTTTACATAAAACGTCATTAAATTTAGAGGCATTTATAGTAGAAAACGTCACTAAATTTAACGACGTTTATAGTAGAAAGCATTGTTATATTTTGATATTTAAATGTATTTTTAGGTACAAACGCTGCTAAATTAAAAAATTTATTTTTTTAATTTTGATTATTATCATTAAATAAAGAATATTAAAAGAAATAAAAATGAATTTAAATTCATAAATTGAATATTATGAATACATAATTTGTTCTAATATGGAACACAAAGTTTAATACATACAATAACATTCAAATTATTTTAGTACATTAACCAAAAATTTAAAATATATGAAATTGATGACTGTATAGATTTGAAATACTACCATTTGATGAAAGATTTTTTTCACTTTGGTCATTACCATCTTCTGTTGTTGATGGTCTTCATGCACAGCGAATCCTTTCAAGCAAGATTAAGTCATTTTATCAAACATCATGATCTGAAAAAATAAACAAAACAAATACTAAGATGAGATGAAAAAAAATATAATAGACTATTTTAAAATGGTTTTCTAAGAATATTTTGAATGAATTAACAAATTCATGTTAACAAGTAACAATTTTTTAATAATTTAAAAAATATTCTGTTGAAAAAAAAAAGCTAAATCTAAAATTTCATTCATGTTTGTAGCTAAATTTAATGTTAAATTTCAAGTTTTTCATAGAAAAATCCTATTTCTTTTACTTTCAGTTCTATCTTGAATTTTTCTCACTAACCAAACAAAATTAAACTTAGAAATGCAATAACGAAATAAATTGGCAAAAAAAGAAAAAGAATGGCCAAATATTGAAAATTGCCAATGTTGAAATGAAGCTTACCAATGGAACTTGAACGGTGGTAGAAATGCAACAAATCAGACAGGAAGTTTAGAGATTTGACCTAACAAATCAAACTGAAAGTTTAAGGATTTGACTTAAAATATAAAAAAACTAACTTGAAATTTGCAAAAACAAAAGGAAAGAAAATGAAAAATGATCATAAAATGATAGAAACTTAAGTAAAAAATGAGAAGAAAGCAACTCAAAATGAGCATAAATAGAAGAAATGAATAGAGGAAAGAAAAAAAAAAAGGTGGTCTTGCAAGTTTGAAATTTAAGAAAAATTTAGCAGTGGGAAAGTGTGATTATTAAAGGCATTTTTAGCTAAAAATGCATTCAATAATTATTTTTAATTTTTTTAAAGATTATTTAAGGCATTTCTAGCTAAAAATACCTTAAATAATCCTTTCCAATTTTTGAAATAAAAATGAAAAAGGTATTGTAACACACTAAAAAAGAGCTATAACAATTTTAAATATAATTAAAAGTAAGAACAATCATAAAAACAAATTATTGTAACCTAAAGAATTAAGTTGCCAATATAAAATTCTAATTAATATTTTTTTGAACATACAAGAAAAATAGTTAAAAATTAAAAAATATATTGATAAGGTAAATAGGTAAGAAGAATTATAAAATTAGCATCATTTAGCATAAAATGGGTATAAATTGTCATAAAACACTAAAAACCATTATAATAAGTCTAAATATAATAGAAAGTAAAAACAACCATAATAATATATTATTGTAAGATAAATAATTATATTGGCCATGTAAAATTTTAATTAATTATTATTTTGTAAATATTTAAACACACAACCAAAAACTTTATTTTTATTAGCACTTATAAGTGCCAGTAAAAGATTAAAAAAGTATTGCTATTATTATTATCGGTAATTTTTTAATCGTTGGTTGACCATCAGCTAGGTAAGTGTCAGTAAAACCTTTTCAATAGTCAAGCTACCAGTGCCAGAGTTACACATTTATTTGATGATTTTTTTTGAAATTTTAAACTATTGTTATAAGTAAAAAAAAAAAAACCTTTAAAGGCATTTTAAA